GAATGAGCTGCTGGCCCCATGGCTGTGTACCATTTCACAACTGACTCATTTCCAGGTACGACAAAGACAGCAAATAAAGACTTGAAGCTTTTCTAATGCACATTGAATACATGCTGTGTCTAGCCCTCTTATCTAGCCCCAAAAAGGATCTCTGAAAGCAGCATTACAAGTAGCTAATAACATAGTCACCAAAATATTATATTCCCTTTGAAATGAGTGAGCATTGTGTGATGCCTCATTCTATTTCTGGATGATCCTCTTGCATCTCACTGAGTTATACAAAGCAACATTCAGGTACTTCACAGTTAAAAAAGTGGAGCTAATTCAGCTTGTAAAGAGAGAGATTTACTGTATCTATAAAGAAACAAAAACTTAAGCTATATCTGTACTCAATTACCAGTTGTCATTTCAGAGCACTGAAAACACCTTTCCTTACATGTTTTTAAATCTTTCATAATGCTTATAAACTAGACAAGAAATACTTCCACTGCTTTTTAAGAAACAAAGCCATAGGCCAGCAACTTAAAAATCCAATATAAATGATTTATATTATTAATATTGAAATGAATTTTCCAATATTACTAATGCAACTCAATCTGCAAAGTTACCTTCACAGCTACGATTTAATTGTTGACAAAACATATTGATTTTGGAAGACTGACTTCAACATGCAATATCAATTGGAACCACTTTTCAGAGTTGCAGACACCACCTCAGCCACTATTTAACTGTAAAATAAATTGCTTAACTCTTATGTCCAGAAAACCTCTTCTCAAATGAAGCAGTCATGTATTTCTATGGAAAGAAGTGAACTTCATCTTGCATTCTGTAAGCACACCCTCTGTTCAGACAACCACAGCAGCCAGGCTGTCCTCCCTGGGATGGCCTTTGTGGCTTTGAGACTCACTAGCCAGAGCCACCCAGCAGCATGAGCCGAGTGGGATCCTTGTGGGATCCTGGCAGTGCTGCCCAACTGCTCCTGCAAAACCTCTCTCCTCCTTCCTCTGCTGTCACTTCTTTTTTTTTTTTTTTTTTGGTCTGATTTTTGTCCTCTCAGAGAGTCTCCCAGCTTGTCCCTCCCAGTTTCATCAGAGTTGAGAGCTGCCCTGTTCCAGTCCAGCCTGCTGCCCAAGTACTCTGCAGACTTTCGTCATTTCCTTCCAGCTATCTCATTTCCCCTGGTTGTCCTGCCTCGCAGCCCGGCTCGGTTCTGCCTGCCCACCTCACCCTCTGCCTAGCAGGGGCTGCGAGGGCAGGGAGCCCAACAGCCACACAAGCCCTCTCCACCCAGCAGAGAAGCCTTGCTCCAGCTTTCAGCTGCCTCCCCTTCTTGCTCGCTCTTCTCCCTGCTGGGGTTTGGAGGATGCAGCTGGTGCTGAGGGACAGGCAGCTCAGAGTGTTTGTTAGCAGAGAGCTCTCCTGTAACAGACTGAGCCATGGCTTTTTCCCAGGGAGGTTCATAGAATTCAGGATTAAGTCCTGGCAAGCACTTGGGCACCCGCAGAGAGATGTCAGTGGGAATCAGGAAGCCACGAACACAATGCTGAACACCCATGGATCCGGCCAGCTCCATCTGCGTCAGTTCCCCCTGGCCCCGCTGCTGCCTACCCACCCACTCCCTTCCTGTGCTTCCTGGGCAGAACACCTCATATTTGTCATTACTGGTGTCAATCTAATTGATTTCACACTCCATCTGATCTACTAGAATAATTCTGAACCCTATTCCCCAAAGGGTCTGCAATCCTCCCTGCCTGGCACCATGGATCTTTCTTTCCAACTGAACTCTCTGTTCCAGGGGGCACTTCCAAGAAAATTTCCCTGGGACTGAAGGGCAGTCACAGGCTCAGAGCGTAAGTTTGCTCATGAGACTATCATGAGGGACTGTGTCAAAGCCCTTATTCAGGATACATTTATTCCTTCCCCTTTAACCACTCTGCTGCTTAGCCAGAGTGAGATTAGACTGACATGGCACAGGCTGTTCCCAGTAAGCTTAGACAGACAGTGTGCATCCCACTGTGACCCAGACATCTGTAAAACTGACAGTTCAGTGCCTTGCAACTTCATCTAGTGCACTGACTGTGAGCTGCCTGGTTGGCAATTCCAGAGATCTGTCTCCATTCGGAAGGGAAGTACAGTATCTGCCCTCTTCCAGCCTTCTGGAAATCCCCTGGCCTCCAGGTGCTCCTGAAAATACCACCCATGGGGCAAAAACCACAATGGCTCATCCTTCAAATGCTCTTCAGTACATTTCATCACGCCTGATGAATCCAAACACATCCATTTGTGTAACCATTCCCTGTTCTAGCCCGAAAACTGCTGGCAGTAGGCATCTGAAACCAATTTATCCTTTTTTTCAGTAAGAGCAAAGAAAATAAGACAATGATTATTTTAACTTTTTCTGAACTTTCTACTTTTCAGGTTATTTTGTAATCAATCTCTGTGTATTTTCCTGAGTCCTGGTCTGCTGAAAATCTGTAAACACACAGAAACACACAGAAAAATCACATTCTCCCTCTCTCTACCCCTTCAGGGTCAACTGCTCAGTCAATCTCCTGAAAGCCACCTGCAGATCAACTACGATTGCTGACGCATTTTCCATTTCCACACAGAAAACAAGTATGGAACCACAAAAACTTTAGCTCCAAATAAGAAGCTGCCAGGCCAGATCAGAGGGGATACTGAGAGCTGCCCAGCCATTCTGGGACAGGTGATAGTCTCTGATCAAGAAGTAATATGGGTTTTTGTCATCAGTAAAACAAGAAAGCAGGGTTCACTTCAGGAGCATTTATTTTCTTTATGTGGCTTCAAATGGAGCCTGGCCCTGTTTGCTCTGCACCAGTGTGCTGCCTTCTCAACAGCCCTCTCAG